TCTAAATAATTTCTAAGAGACTTGTTTGAAGGATCTTTTTTAGGCTTTATAGTTAGGAGAAACTCGGCCTCAGGATACCTTCACATGTGTGTGAAGGTGTAAGGTTGCCTTCTCCCTCCTCTCCCTCCATTCCTGCTGTCAGTAGACTTTGTCAGGCTTTGATCTTTCTATCATTAGTCAGGTATGCAGAGACACAGGCAAACCACCAACTTGTCTTTTTCTCTCCCCTTCTTGCTTTTTCTTTTCTTGTGCTCTCCCACGCTCTACCTAGAGAAAACCTGCTGACCTGCTTGTCTTCTCTACTCTCTGTCAAAGATAGAAAGGTAGAGCAGCGTCGTTTCTTTGAGCTTGACGAGTACAGAAAGTGACAGTTTCTGTGCTCTCTGCCAGCTCTATTTTTCCACATTCTTTAAGAACAGGGTGGAAGAGTCTCGGTGTCCATCCCTGTTGGTCACTAGCAGTGCATGTCTCCCTAAAGTCACACATTGGAATATTTGGAAGTTGGTTTAAAAGAGCACTTCTTAAAGATGTGTTTACTCGTGTCATGAAGTCTAACAGCTGTTTTTACAACAAAGAAAATTGGTACAGTTCATTTTGTTGTTGTTGATTTGTTACTTCAAACAGCTAACCCTTTAATATAACAGCACACATAATAAATCTGCTAATTAAAAAACAACAAACAAACAAACAAAACAGTCCATTAAAAACTAACTTTTGAATTGTTTTACTGTAATATACTTAAAATTTTCTGCACGTAGAAATGCAGGCTGACCATTCGTTAGGATAAAAAAAAAAAGAAAAAAAAAAGGCTTGCATAAGAGAGGAAATACCCGTCTCTGGTGATATTCCAAGCTGAAATTCTTGGAGACAGAACTATTTGAATACTTTCACAGCTCCTGATTAAATATGTTGCAGTATCCTTGTCCTTTAACTAAAGGACCAGAATACATACCTGTGACCATACAGAAGTACTCGAGTAAAACCAATCTCACATAATTGTATTCACACCAACTGTTCATCGAAAAATCTTTAAAAAACAAAAGACTTGAGTTTGGTACCTCTCTCACATCTAAAGTCAATATGTGAGAGGTTTAAGTGATAAACTGATATATTCTGCAAAGACTAGGGATCTTTTAGGGTCACTGGTTGCATGACTACAACTGGATTCCTTTTTATATCATTTCCTATCATGCTTTGTGTGGAAATTTACAAGGAGAAAAACTTGCTGAACAGTGGAGCAGAAACAGTGGGGGCTTTTGGCTACAGCTGCTCTTTGTGTGTGCAATGATTTGTTCTGTGAAAACAGAAAAAAGATGAAAAGAGCAGAAGATGGACATAAGTGAATGAAGAAAGAGCACCTAGTGATTGTTGGCGTTGCTCACATGACTGAATGTCAGGATTTGCATAAAACCTGCTTGGTTTTACTGGGGAAAAAATAAAATAAATAAGTAGTACAGGTATACACAACTCCAGGCAAGGTTTTCTTTATCATTTGGATAACCAGAGGCATATCCTTGAAATTTCACTTCTTGTTTTAATAATTGCATATCTCAGAGTTTAAATTTATATTTAAACATCTTTACATAGAAAGGGGAGTTTCCCTGGTCCAGCACACAAATCAAAGTGGGCTGTATGTTAAGGTTGGGCAATTGGACGAATGTTGAACTTTTCACTGGTCGTTTTTACACGAGCGATTTATTTACCTATTTATTTATTTGCCCATGAGTAAGTTTGCTAATAATGCTGGTTGAAGCTAAGACAAGCAGTCAACAGGAATTTTATTTATTTATTTATTTTTAAAGGGCTGTTTTAACGTCACCCTCTTCCAGCTGTGTGCAAATGCACCCTCAGAGTGTGCGCCCAAATGTAGCAGCGATTCATTTACTCAAACTCATAACATAATGAAAGAAAAAGGGCTAGGGTAGCCTATGTTAAAACAAACAATAACATTTTATTTAAATTAAAAAAACAAAACAAAAACACAATGCTGGGGAGGGAAACAAAGAGAAACTGGCTTCTTTTTTCCACTATACCCGTGTTTACAGGCCGTTCCACTGTTTATCAGTCTCACTGTGCACTGTGTCCACCAGGGGCTGTCCTTTCCATGTTATGCTGCTGGTGAAAAGCTTTTCCAGAGCTTGTTGATGGAGCTGCAGACGCTGGTGGTAGCCTGGCATACTCAGTGGGTTGGTGGACACGTATTTGCTCATTCAAGTTAGTTGCGTGAGTCCTTTGCTGGCACTATACGTCTGGACAGGCGGCACATCCCTTGGGTTACATCCTCAGGTTTACCTCTTTCATCCGGTTTAAAGCCAAAGAAATCCCCCATTGGCGACTTTGTATTTTCTTTTGGCAAATAGTTCCTCCATGTTTGGACTTATTCTGTGTTCTAAAAGCAGTCTGTGCATGTATAAATTGCTCCGCCCATCAAAAAGTCACCTCCACGAATATATCGCCTATTGTCATTTATTGGACTGATGAATGTCGGTCGGAAAAATGTTTACATATTGCCCAGCTGTACTGTATGTGGCCCATAATGTGAAATGAATTTGACATCCCTGTTTTAAAGTGACTTTTTTTCATGAGATTCCTGGTTAATTTTGGAGGTGTGCAGGTTTTTATCTTCTAGTTTTTAATCCTAGATAAAAAAAAGAAAAAAGAAAAAAAAGAAAAACAGTGAAAAATGCTTTCTCCACAGTCCTGGTGGTTTTCCTTTGGTGGAGCGATACCTTATGAGGACAAAGATGGTGAATTCTGCTTTGTTTTTCTAAATTGAGTGGAAGGATTTAATGCCTATGAGTAAAAAAGGCCACAGTGCAATAGAGGACCTGATTTTTATGCATGTCTACATTTTAAAACTACTTGCCGGTCTACACACTCAGGTGAAATGGTGCTTACTACCATGTTCTGGGGTTTCATTTAATTATGAGAAAAGCAACAGTTGATTAACTAACCACAGGGTGGCGCCTGCCCTGAAAGTTTCCCCTTATGTGTACCTTGAACCGGAATTAGTGCTGAGCTTTAGCCATAATGTGGGACAACAGTTCCAGTAGCAGAGAAGGCCTATTTCAGTGGCAAAATTTGTATTTCTATTGTCACATTTACATTAGCTTGCACTACTAATAAAGTTTGTGAATGAAAATGCTACTTGGCATGACTCTACAATAAGATGGTAAGAAAACAAAGACAATACTTTCTATTTTTTAGTTTGATGCATTTATTACTTTTAGGCTGAACTTCTGTCATTTGTTTTTAATCAGGATGTCCTAAAAAAAACTGCCTGAAAAGCTGTCCGTTTTAACTAAAAATGCTAGAAAGAGGGAGCATATTCTTCTCCTATCTCCACCTGATCCTAGGGTTGGATCAGGTGACCCCGAATCCTCCCTTAGTTATGATGCGATAGGTCTAGGCTGCTGGGCACTTCCCATGATGCACTGAGTGCTCTCCTCTGTGTTTATACACCACTCTGCATTTAATCATTAGTTATTATTAATCTCTGGCTGCCCCTCCGAAATCCTGGTTCTGCTGGAGGTTTTTCCTGTTAAAAGGAAGGTTTTCCTGGAGGAACACCTGGAGGTTTTCCTTCCCACTGTTGCCAATGCGCTTGCTCATAACGGGTCATATGATTGTAGGGGTTTTCTTTCTGTATCATTTACCTTACAATATAAAGTTCCCTGAGACAACTCCTGTTGTAATTTGGCACTATATAAATAAGACTGAACTGAATTGCAAAATGCAGACTCAATTAGTTCAACATGTGTGCAAGATTGAGGGACACCACGTCACAAACCCGCCACAAGTTACCATGAAAAAAGCAAATAAAGGTTTCCAGTTCTTCCTGGCCACCTCCACTTCTCTTCACCAGTTTGCTTCAATTCTCTACTTTGCTGTCTCACTTTCTTCCTGCTCTCACAAACCTCTACAATACAAGAAATTCTCTCCATCCATGTTCTTTTATCATGTTTTGGTTCTTCTTGCCAATTTTTGTTTTAGTTTTTAACTGAAAATTGTTTTTTGAGGCTTTTTTCAAAAATTGTGTCTGCCAAACCACACTCAGCAGTTTACAGTTTATTTCTTTTTTTGGAAATATGAATTAGTTGGTGCAACAATCTAGGCAGAGCAAAACCATATCACTTAAAGTGTAAATGCATATCCTTAAATAAAAGTATGTAATGAAAATGGTAGGTGACCGTAGGTCTAAAAGAGCTTAAATGTAACATTTTAAAAGGTTACAGGTTAACAATGATGCCGTCTTTGACTCACTGGCTGGTTAAATTTTAATGTTTGAAACTGTGTCACCTAAAGAAAAAAGGCTTCCCCACTATCACTTTCTCGCCTCAGTCAATTTTCCATGACAGCCCAAGCATGACTACTAGAGAGCAAGCAACTGTCCTTCCTTGGATAAAGTTTTAGTTTTCACTTGTTTCTGCTGACTTATACGGCAGTCTGACTAACATGGCATGAGCACATTACAGAAAAGCAGTTGCTGTAATATAAATTGATGGGAACTCCTAAAAACATTTGCGTTAATAAAGTAACAATTGAATTTTACAAGCACATGTATTTTACATGCACATGGTTTGTGGCGTCAAAAAGACAAGTGTAAAAAGTACTCTACTATTACTTGAGAAAAACAGTCTGTTACTACAATAAAAACAAATATATCCTTGTAAAACATGTACATGAATATTATTCAAGCCATTTAATCCGAGGTACTCAGAGTATGTAATGACATAAACTGACCACATGGTGGCACAATCTGCACATGAAATGCAAAGACTCCTGAGAATACTGAAAGCTGGTAAATCATCCCTGTCTTGTTTAACATCTAATCCCCAAGTTCCTCTATATGACATTTCAGATGAGTTTGAGCACTTCACACAATTATAGGCTGCGCTCCTTTCCAACCATCAGGTTAGACAGAAAATATGGATATGTAACAACAACAAAAGCATCGTTAACCATGTTAATGAAGAAGCATGTGTACATTTAGTACTCACATTTTCAATGACAAACGTCCATTCTTTGTCCTCAAACTCCTCTGCGTGGGGGTCCTACAAACAAGACAACAGTTATTTAATTAAATTCTAATTTTCACTTTGGCCGTGTGCCAACAGACAGAAAACTGTGAGTGAGCTCAACAGCTTCCAACCCACTATCATCTCTATTCACCTCATGACCCAGTTTTTGTGTTCCATTTCCCCTTATAAATTGTTTGCATTACTGAGGTGACTTTCAATTACACAAGGTTGAGCTACTGAATCCACAGATGGAAACATTAAAATGCAGAAAATTTCTGTGTACTTTAAGCATCTCTGTGTTGCCTCTCTTCCCATCTTCCTGCCTGTTTAAAATCGACATAATGAAAGAAGAGAGGAACGGAGGCAGGAAGCAGCCCGGCCTTACTGTGCTGCGGTGGGTGACCTTCACTGCCCTCCAGTACTCTCTTAAGCACATGCACAGTACACACAAACACAAGACAGAGCTGGACACAGTACAAAGAGAGAAAGCACAGCTGCATGTCAAGTGGTAAACACTAAAAACTGGGCCCATTGAAACCAGATGGTTGGATGCAGGTTAAACCAGTACAATCACTTCAGGTGCTAAAGCATCTGCACATATATTATGCCAGTATTTGGACTGTGCGAGTCAAATTGCAGAACAGGTGATATGATAGGTTGGATTTCAGAGATGCATTAAACCCTGGTTGCAATGGGCATTTCAAGGATGGTCAGCTGACATACGTCGACACCAGGGGGCAAGCCCCAGACTAAAAACACACTTATGACTTATGGGGCACAGCTCAGGTTTAGTCTCTACACCTTTACTAAAGTATTAATGCAAACAATGGCCAGATTTAAATAATAATAGTGATATAAAAGCTTTAAAGCTGATCCACCCAACAAACATAGGACAGATTTTAAACCAGACTTCATTTAAAAGGTAGAGGAGGAGTTTCTCTAGTGAGGACAAACACAAATGTACAGTCTGCTGTTTGTTGCAGCCTCTGCGTGTAATACACGAGCTCTGATTGCCTTTTTGTCTGGCTGAGCTCAGGACACACTCCCAGAAATCAATATTCCTGCAGTCTAGTGTAACAATCAGACAACGCCCACACACAAACACAGAAAATAACACAGCCTTCTCACATACACCCCCCCCCAACTGTAAACTTGCTGTTATTTCACATCCCACATAAACTGCTTTTAAGCACCAGCAGAGTGAGGCGTTATCAGCTGTTTTAGTGCTGCTGGTAAACAGAAGCTGCAGATCACACACAGCATGCACCTTCTTCTGTGACATATCGTTTTCATTAACAAATTCCAACATTAGTGACAAGGATTTTATTATTTTGTTAAATAATTTTAAAATATGAACAGGAAAATGCTTGTCCTTTCCAATAATTCAGAACCGAACAACTCTTGTGGTACTCTCAGTAAGATTTGTTTTCAGATACTTTGAAATAAAATTAAAAAAATAAAATGTCACAAGTCAAATCCAGCTAATTTAAAACTCAATAGGGTAAAAACAATAACTGCCCACTTTTATTATGCACATTATCTCTGGTAGGATTGATCTGTCTGCATAATGAGCAGCCAGAGCACTGCTTACTTCAGTTAATATTTAATCTCATGATTTTTTTTTACTATATACAAAGTTCAGCTAAGGCTGTCTGGTAGTGTACATCCCCCCCGAGGCTACAATAATGCAGGGCTCAGCTAGTTCAGCTAGCTTGAGGCCAGAAAACACTTTGACAGGATCTTAAAATCATGGTTACGTTTCCCCTCACTTTCAGTTACCACAATTCAGAAAAAAAAAAATCAGAAGTGTAAGTTATTAGATACTTGAATTGCCCAAGTGTTACACTTGGCAAATCAAGAGACAGGATTTTTGAAAAAGTACTGTAAAATCGGGGCACAAACCTAGTCTCATTTAAAAAACATATAATGTGTAAAAACTGGTGCAGTTTCCTATAACACAGGTAAAATGACCCAGGTAACGTTAAAAGCCCTTTATAACATTTAGGCGTTATAGGACCAGAGAGGTCTTACACCTGAACAGGTCTTAAAACTCTCAAATCTACAGAACTGTAGGCTAGGGATGTGCATGACTATCCAAGCAGAGGACTGAATGTCCCTGCTGACAGGTACCACCAGAAATATAATAATTGAAACTAAGCTCATATTTTATTGTTATACAACATCAATTAATTATTTCTGTAACCAAGCAAGGTTACCAGAGCAACTCTGCTTGCAGCTTTTGACCTGCAATTGACCAGGAAAGTATTTGGCAGTAATATAACTACTGCAGATTAGGGTGTTAATGCATTTTCAAAGGGTCTGATTCTGTCTGGGGTTTTACTGTAGACAGTATTTCCAGCATGAGCTTTATGCTACACGCACAGAAAACTGAAAAGCTGTGAAAAATAATAAAGTCAAGAATCTAAAGAGAATCAGGCCCTGCATCTTTTTTCCCCCCTAACGACTCTGTGAGATCTTTAATACAACTATAAATATTCACAACGTTTCCCTTTCACTCAGTGTAAAGCAGTTGAAATACAGCATAAAAATGTTCTCATTTAATGCACTATCCATTTATAAAATGGATGACACTCAGTCTGAGATGTCTTAAGGAATATGAGCACCATTTCAACTTTAAGTCTCAGTTTTTCAACATTATAAAGAAAGGCTGCTTTAGTAAATCAAATAAACCTCTCAGCACAGCTATTTTACTTTCCTCTTAAAGAAATAAATCTGTATTGTTAGATAAAACATTATTGGCAGCTCATTACTCTGAGTCTGACAATTTAATTAAAAAAATGAAATGTATTGTTAATCCACTGGAAAATCTTTTTGTCGACAGACAGGAAATTTTGTTTAATTGTTCATCTATGGGGGACCTATAAGTACCACTTCTTCCCACTAATTTTCAAGCACCTGTTGTACTAGAGGACAATATTTTCCGTCCTCTATATATGCTCCATCTTGTATGTATGTACACATATGCACAAAATAAATGATCAATTAATCAATCTAATTTTTTTAAATATTCATGCAACATCCAAAACCTTGTCTGGTGTCTTTTTTTAGTAAGAATGGTGTCAAAGTGACAACGATTCAACCTTCTTGGATTAAAATACCAAAATAATAAAGTCAAACATTCTTAAAATTGATTTACACTGCGACTCCCATCAACGACTCTTGAGGACCAAATAGTGAAAAGTTATGCCGACCTTCTTTGCACAGCATTAGATGCTTTCATTGTCCAATCATGGTTCACAGGCTGTATTATTAAACACCCTGATCTATGACATGCTCTTGGCTGTGTTCGTGTAAACTAGGATGATGTTTCAGAGTTTCTTTATTTTTATTATCCAGAATGAACAAAAACCTTTCTACCAAGGCAGCAGGCTTACAGACTGCATTCTTCTGCCGTTTGATTTGAGCTCCATCCAACTTAATGGTTGAATGGTGCCTTCAATGGTTTTGCATTTTGTCTCATTACCAAAACAGCTTTATTACTTCCTCTGAGACAGGAAGTGGAAGTGGGCCTAAAAAAAGAGGCACTAATAGTACAGTTACGCTCAACAACCACAGACTTCAAAAAACTGAGCCAGTACACACGAAAGCAGACATAAGGGTTTGTTTTTACAGATGTCTGGAGATGAAGTCTTTACTCTATTTGAGGGTTTCTGTGTCAAGTGCCTTGGGATTGACTAGATTTTCATGTATTTAGTATCCAAATTGTTAAAAGCCACCACCACCACTTTACAAAGCAAGACAATTATGGTAGATATTTGTGGTAGGAGTTATGGGTAACAAGATACTGAGCTCTGAGCTGACCTGTCAGCAAAAAGGCCAGTATGTTTAAGTAAGTCAGACAAGGTGACAGATACCTGTTTAAGTGTACAGTAGAAGCAGAATTTTTGGCATAAGCCATTTATAAAGATCATATTACACAAGTGTGATTGAACATTTTAAACTAATATTTAATTACCAAATTCAACCAATCATGATGCTTTGACTGAATCCTTCAGCCCCTGTGTCTTTAGCACTTTAGTAGCATGATGACAATTCCATGCTACACACTCTAGATTTCTATTAACCAAGGAAGCAAAACTGCCTCAGAGCATCACAGAGTCACCACCATGCTTCACTGTAGATGGCATCATTCTTCCACCTCCAGACTGCCTTCTTTTATGAAAGGTAATGTTTTCTTCTCTTAAGCTCTAGGCCTGATGGGTTTATGGCTTTAACAGAAAAACCTGAACTCTGGAAGTTAGAAATTGTTTGTACAACAATTGATTTGTAAATTTGTGATCTTGTGAAAGATGTCATTAAGGAATTATAGGCAAAAGTCAGGAAAATTAGCATTTTATGTTAAATTTAGAAAAATATTAGCTGTGTTGAGCAATTTTAACCGTCTGTGTGTGCTTTTGGTATTGAAATCAACTGGAAAAGTTCACATTTTGCTATTAGGATTAGTTTGATAAGGGGACTAAATAAGTGTGCTTCCAACTAAATGTATATAAATGTTTAGCCTAACATTTTCCCAGAAAAGTCTGAAAAATTAGGGCTAGAGTTTCCTTAAAGGCCTGTTTTACACAGATAATAGAGCAGCAGGTTACCTTAAAAAGAGTGACCGTGATCTCAATGTTTTCTGGTACAGGCCACACCACGACTCCTCTGTAGGGGTTTTTGATGCCAGGCTGCCAGCTGTGAGACTGCAGGACAGAAGGATGGATGATGAAAAAAATTACATTTGGAAATAAGTGGAAATTGAAAATTTTCTTAAACTAAAAATGCATCTAATCCAATACCAACCTTGGAGGATTTCCGTCGACTTCTACGCGTCCAAACCACCACCAGTTTGTCTGGTTGCCTGTGAGAAGAGAGAGAAAAGAAAGATTAATGTAAAAAAAGGCCAGTCCATCCACTTCTGTGCTACACTTCAACATATAATTACTGTCAGTCTAAACTAGATTGTATTTTATTGCTTCAAGTTTAAAACCCTGATAAGCCCTCTGCTCTGCACACACATATACAAATACCTGCATAGTCTCACAGCATGAATAAATCATGATGAGACAACTAAACCCCAGCTTTGTCCCTGCAGACTGCAGCACAAACAACAGGATGCACACTTGCAGAAATACAGAGTATACACATACAAGCACGAGTTTAGTCTAACAGGAGAAAAAACAAACAAACAAACAAACAAACAAACAAACAAACAAAAACAGATAGGGGTCTGAGAGTTAGGATAATCTGATCCAGTCCAGGATGGAATCAGCTGTAAGGTGTAATAACCACTGAGATCAGTGCACGAGCTGTTAGTGGCAGTGCTAACACAGCATGGAGGAAGCAATTTGGAGAGGTTTCACACCTGGGATGCCAACAGCACATCTTTCAGCCCAAATTCACCAGAAAAACAGTCACGAAAAAGCCTTTTTTGTTGTACATGAACATTAGTACATATGTGAACAGACAAAGCAAACATTGTTATCAGGAACATTAAAAAATAAAAATGTAAAAATGTAACATTCATGCCGAGAAACAAAAATCAGTAGATTAGAGATTGTGACCATTTTACAAACTGCCATGCTAAGTTCAGTCACATGACAAGGCAGTGCTGTGGTGGTTAGCAGTGCTGTGGTGGTTAGCAGTGTTGCCTCACAGCATGAAGGTTCTGGGTTCAAATCCGCCTCCCACAGACCAAGAACATCCATGTTAGATTATTTTAGAAGAAATATTTACTTATTTTACATCAACAATTGAAGTTGCAGTCTAATAAAAAAAAAAAGTTTTTGTGACCTGATGTAATTCCTTATTTTAAAAAAAATATATTTTAAGTACTGCTGCATAACATTTTTTTTTTTTTTAAGCTGACAAATGAGATGACAGGCAGCAGTTGAAGGAACAAACCAATACAATTTTTTAAACAGCCTCAAGACAATGCAGGGTGTTCAGAAGAGGAGTGGCTGTAGTTCAGATTAGGCATCTAAGTGCATTCTGAAATGCAGCTGATGGTGCTGCGGTTCATGTGTTAACTGCTGAGGCATACTTTGGCTTTTAGTCATGCTTAAGCATCTCTCTCACTCACTCTCATGGGCAAGCCTCCACTTCATGCTGTGAACCTCTCCAGCTTCATGGATAGCAGTCTGTAGCTAATGCAGACCTCTGGTTTTGCACTGTCACGAAGAAAGGGAGCAAACTACTATACGTGTATTCATCAAAATAACTTTATAAGCTCTGTGAGTGACTAAATAACAAGAAGCTACATCATATTAATATTGCCATCAGTTACAGATGCACCAATCCAGATTTTCCTACTTCCAATATCACACTAATACATTAGCTTTTGGTATCTGTTGATAATGAGTAATGACATAATACCAGTGTTAAATCAACAATTTTCATCCCTCACTGTGAGAAAGACTGGAAATCATTCTTTAAATGCATGGTAACATAAATGTTGACTTAAACATCACCCTCCCAACTTTACATAAAGCAAAACATAAATACAAGGTTATACATTTACTGAATTTGGTATATATTAATCAAATAATGAAAAGCTTCCCATAGTGTATAATCCACAACAAACATCTTTCTAGTTTCTAACTAGTTTGACCTAACATAAGGAGAAGTCAACAAATTAAATGAATATCATAGTATTGAGTTTGTGTCCATTTGTGTGAATCACTGGCTATGAAGACTGATGGATTTTAGGAAACGCTGAAACAGCAGAGTTCGCCACGGAGGAGAAGTAGTGCCAAAAAAATATCTAGATAAAAAAATTGAGCATGTGAAGAACAGACTTTTCCTGTAGTGGACAGTTTGTACTGTTTTAACACTGTTTCATTGCAATTAATTGGTCTATTTTATGACTTTGCTCTTCATCGTGACAGCAGCTAAGCTTAAGACTCAACAACAACAACACAAACACGAGAAAGAGTAAGACAAATAACATTTTCATGCCATTATCTGCTGACAGTACACAGCTAAAACCTATAGATAACGGTTTACAGAGTGTCCGTGTTGTGTACAACAAACATGCCAGCCTCATTAGAGAGAGGGGAGCAAGCGCAACAAACTGAAAGTAAAACATTTGTATTCTGATACAGTCCTTAACAAACTGTTATGAAAAAAAAATACAGTAACTATAATTTGGCAGTGGTCTAGCACATCTATTAAGCACTGTATATGCTGGATTCAGCGATAAGACAGAACCTTTACTTTGAAGGCAAATTGTTCTCTGTTTCCTGTTTGCATTGCACCTTTCATGTTTCACAGTTTTCGCTACTACATGGTGACCAGTTGGTGAGTGTTAGCAGGCAAGTCAGCATCTATGTCAGCTTCTATGCAAACTACAGGCAACTTCAGCAATGTGCTAGCAACTAAAGTATTAACAATGTGACCAATAATTTCACCAACAAATCGAAAGCAATTTCCAGTAACAGTCTCCAACCGTCAGGGTGGTTCGCCTACCAGTCGGCGTGACTAAGACCTGAATAATTAAACAGCAGCACATTTTAAACTTAAAATTCAGAATGAAACACTAAGCCTCTTCATGCAGATTGGTATTAAAATCCAGATCTGCATCATGAAGTTCTGTATCTGCAATATTTTAGTGTAAAGTACTGGATGTTAAACACTAGATTTATGCATGCACCAGTCTTTATGTATAAGATTTTTAAGAGAACAATAACAAAGGAAAAGAATGACAGACAGTGTTACAGAGAGCAAAAAGACAAGAGAAAAGAGGGAAAGAGTGAAAAGAGACAAGAGGAGAGGGGAGAAGAAAAATGACATAACAATTTCAGCCTTGAGGAGAGGCCACACATAGAGGAGCTATTGTCCAACAACACATGCCATATCAGAGAGAAGGCAGAGACACACAAATATCACCCTCCCTTTGTCTCCTTTGTACAGTATTTGTTGAGCTATGAGAAAAATTTAAACCATTTGTCTGCAGGCTAAATTATTTCAACGCCCTTTTTTAGTTGTGTTCAGCTACAACTTCAAGGCTTCATTCTGTGTGTAACATTAATCAATGAGCCATCAGAGGGGAATGTCACAACACAAAAACACAAATGAGATGAAGACGGCCACAAAAAGGCCTGAGGAAAAACTATTAAAGTGGCATTCATCAGCTCTCAGTCATACCAAGAGTTCACTAGTAGAGTTCACAGCTAGATTACAGCCTGATGTTTACCCTAGATTTGAAGTTTAGTTTAGATGTTTTATAATTTTATAGTATATGTTTAGTTGGTTCTGCTTTCTCTTCATGTAAGAACTTTGCAAAGTGGCATCCAGAAAAGACACCAACAGGATAAAGCACAGTACACAGATTAGAATTAAGCCAAGAGTGCGCTGGCCAAAATAAGCAGCAGTAGAACAGAAATTGGTTAAATAGACTAGTGATACCCACACAAATACATACAGCAAAACACAAAATAAATCTGAAACAAATTATTATGAAGTCCAAACCCTAGGAGCGTTTTGTCTCATACTTGAGCATGACCACTACCCTTCTGAATGTTAAGACCTTCACAAACTGGATGCCTAAAATCCGTGCAAATATTTTTTTGCTTTAAAAATATTTTTTTAGACTCACCTACTCTTACTGCAGCTGATCACGTCAACCGCATAATTTCACTGGATGAATTCGCAGTACTTATTTTTTTGAAACAAGTATTTTATAATCCAATAAGACCTGACCAACTAGCATTTGGCAACATTTGCACTCGTAACTCAAATTGTGTGCCATTACCGAATACATAATGACAGTAAAATAATAGTATTTTACTACATTCATACTGCTAGACGCTGCTCCTGGTAAATGTCTGAAATGATTTCTCTGCCTCCTCAGATATGTTCCCAATTCTGCCAAGAACTCAACCTCCCCCACTGACATCCTGAAATATGTACAATGCGCCTGTGATACACCTTCCACTCCTGGACCAAACCATGCCTTCTCCTGAGAATTGGATGGACCCAGAATCTAAGTTTTTACATTTTTCGTATTTATTCAGGAGAAAAATCAGCCCCTCCAATTAATTTACTCAGTAGGAATCCCATCGATTTTATTTTAAAATTTCAGTTCATGTTAATCAAGTACCCTCACCCCCTCCAGTCTTGGGTTGGACTGGAGGGGGTGGACTGGACTGGACGTCTCTGAATATCCCGAATATCCCAGAAAACCACAAGCAAACTCAATGTGACCACAACATAGAAAGAGGATAATACATTTATTTGACATAGATTTATTTTACCAACAAAGATTTCCATTTAAAGAAAGATAAAATAAACTAAAGGTCTGGAGCTCCAGTCAAAGAACTGATACCACAGCAAATGGATTGGTGTTTATATAGTGCCCACTCAAAGCAATCCTACACAACAAGCCCCGTTCTATTCTATTGGCAATTTGGGGTTGAACATCCTGCCCAACACACAGACTAGAGGAGCCACAGGTCAAACCACTCACTTTCCCATTAGCAGATAAGCTGCTCTATCAAATTGAATTCAATTTGTTTAAATAGCATCAAACAACAAGAACAGTTGCTCTACTTCCTGCACCACAGTAACCTCAGAATAAATTAGTAAAAGACACAAGACACAAAAAAGTGGAAGGAGTCTGGGCCAGCCACATAAAGTGCAGTAGGATTCAGGACTTCTCTAAAAAGAGACTACCAGGATCTCCATCCTGAAAGCAGAGAAACACTCCCACGAGGAGGTCTGGGAAATATGGAGCGCCTTTTCCGGCCTCCCTCACAAAAGTACTCCATACCTAAAACATTTCATAATGAGAGAGCGGAGATGGGCAAAAGATTAGAGACAGGAGAAGCTGAGAAAGGTAGTCCTCATTCTGATCTAAAGATT